CATAGGTCAGATAGACCTTCTGGGTTAAGTTGCCGAAGGAGGTGCTGTAGAAGGAGGTGGATACTGCCTCGTAGGAGAAGGAGGGAGTGTTGCTTAGGCAGGTCTTAAAGAGCAGCTATAGCCTGCTGTAAGGTTTCTAGCTTTTCTTCTAGAAATGCCCTTCTGCCTTCTAGGGGACCTATATAAGTACCCAAGGTCTTGAGACCATGGTCTTTAAGGTCCTTGATAGCTATTTCCTTGCTTTTAGCTAGGTTAAGCTTATAAGGTGATTTCTCTAGTACCTCTCTAGCTATATCTAGAGATCCTTGGTCTTTAGATAGGATATAAAGGTTATCTAGATAAGCTACTAGGGTTGCCCCTGGGAGCTTTCTAGCTAATTCCTCTAGAGTAGGTCTAAAAGAGAGGGAAAAAAGAAGTGGTCCTATTGGGTCTCCTTGCCTAACCCCTTTAGAAGAGGCTATAGTTAAACCATCTAGAAGGACTAGTAGTGAGGGGTTATTATAAGCCCAGGTTGCAGCCCTATAGAAGGTAGGGGCAAAGGAGGCCACTGAGGACGCTATAGAGGGTCTAGCCCCGCTGTTGAAGGCGTTGTGGAGGTCAACTGAGGTGATATATTGGAAATCAGCCTTATTTGGGCCAGCTATAGCTTCCTCAAGAAGGAAGATAGCTGGTTCTACTCCTCCTGGGCTGCTAACGCCTAGCTGGAAGGGCAATAGCATAGAGGAGCTAAAGGAGGTCTTTAAGATAGCTTTCATAGCTACCTTATAGATAAGATCTCCTATAGCAATAGGTCTAATACCTCCATCTGGCTTCTCTAGGCCGATAAGGCGGCTTGCACATAGTAGGTCTGCCCCTGGGGCTGTTCCTTGCCTTATCATATCAGCTAGTAGCCTTAGGAAGGCTATAACTAGGGAATCTGCCTTAGATACTAGGTTTAGAAGTGGCCTAGTCCAGCCACTAAGGCCGGGGGCTTTTTCTTTTCCTATAGTAGCTATAGAGGCAAGGATAGCTTCCTCTGTAATAGGTTGGCCAGGTCTTGGGCGAGTCTTTCTTAAAAAGGGGTCTTTTGAGCCTATTGGGTGTTTTTCGAGTAAAATAGCCCTGTTTTCAGCTGTATCAGCAGCTATAGGGGTAGGGTCTATAAGAGCTCGAGAAGCCCGTCCTAGGAAGCCTCTTTCTAGCATCTTAGCTGCCCTCTTAGCTGGGCTAGGGGCTGTTTTCCTTCCTTGAGAAGGGGAAAAAGAAGTACTTTAAGCTAGGCTTTGTAGGAGGCTTTCTAGGGTCTCTAGGGAAGGGATATTAGAAGGATAGGCTCGGAAATAGGTAGATAAATCTCCTTTCTGGATTCCAAGACCTAAGATTCTAGGGAGGATAAGAAAGTATAAGAGGTTTTTCTCAGTAAGTCTCTTTATAAAGGCCTCAGCAGCCTTCTGAGCAGCTATCTTAAAAATAGCTGCCTGTCTAGCTTGTAGCTTTTTCTCCACTATAGGGATTTTTGCATAGGCTAGAAGCTTCTGTATAGATCCCTTAGCTAAGATTGGTGCTATAGCCTCTTGGTGTTGCTGCTGAAGGTCTGGGGGAGAGGAAGAGGGAGTCTCTAGGTCTAATAAGATATCTGCAAATCCTTGAGATATAGATCTGTAAGAGGACTTGGAAGAAGATCTTGAAGAAGACCTTGAGGAGGCCCTTTGAGATGACCTTGAAGAAGACCTAGCTGTAGCCTGAGGAATAGGTCTAGCTGGGGTCTGGGGGATAGATCCGGCTTGGGTCTGTGAGATATGTGATATAGACCTAGCTAGAGACTGAATAGAATCCTCTTCTATAGGACTAGAAGGGGGAATACTAGCCTGAAAAGCAGTCTCTTGCCTAGGTCTTCCTCTTTCAGCTATAGGGAAGATAGGGATTTCAGGAAGGTCTGGGGAAAATAACCTGGATTGGTCTTCTGGAAAGAGGCTGCTTTGGGGTGGGCTAAGAGACTGAGAGCTTAGGAGAGGGTAAGGGCTAGGGCTGGAAGGCTGCTGCCTCTGCCTCTGTAAAGGTCTTGCTGTCTCTAGGGAAGGGGTTTTAGCTGGCCTTTTCCTTCTAGCAGCTAGCTCTTTAGCTAAGGCTATTATAGATGGATGAGGCTGATATTGGGCCCTAGTGGCTGGATAGGTCCTTATCCTAGGAAGAGTAGAGATATTTGAAGTCCCTTTTATTCCATGGATTTTAGCACTATGAGCCTTAATGCCCTGGGCTCCTTGGCAAGCTGTTGAGCAGTGTGGGCACCTAGCTAGATTCAGAGGTTGTAGCTGCTGATCTGTATAGGCTTCGGTAGGGTGTTTTTTGCAGATATGCTCTAGAATATCCTTATAGCTACCGTCACAGGTAGGGCAGCTATAGGAGGCCATTATAAGGATAAAGAGGGGAAGATTAGCTGTAAAATACAGGAATAACTGATCTTATAGCTTAAAAGATAGGCTTTCTAGGCAAGATAAGAGAGGTAAAATATAAAAAGGAAATCTACTCTTTAAAGAAGGAGCAGAAAATCAGGCTTAAAAGAGATAAAAGAGATAGCTAGAAGCTATATAAAAGAGATAGCTAGAAGCTATATAAAGAGATAGCTAGAAGCTATATAAAGAGATAACTAAAAGCTATAAAAAGAAATAGCTAGAAGTTATATAAAGAGATAGTTAGAAGTTATATAAGAAAGAAAAAATAATATAAAATAAAGAGATATATATAAGAAAAATAAGATAAAAGAAAATTAAAAAAGAATTAATTTAAAATTAAAATTAAAAAGATTTAAATTTTATTTTAATTTTATTATTTATATATACTTAAACCTTAACCTTATATTAAACCTTAACCTTAAGCCTGACCTTGAGCCTGACCTTGAGCCTGACCTTGAGCCTGACCTTAAGCCTGACCTTAAGCCTGACCCTAACCCAACCCTAAGTCTGACCCAAAGTCTGACCCTAACCCAACCCTAAGTCTAACCTAAAGTTTAACCTTAAGTCTAATTTTAAGTATAATTTATTAAGTTATATATTAATATTTAAAAGAATATAAGTAAAAAAGAAAATAATAAATTTATATTATATTTAAATATTAAATTATAAATTAAAAAAAGAATTATTATATATTAGAAAATAAGAAAAATAAATAAATATAAATATAAATATATTAATTTTAAAAGAAAAAATAAAAGTTATTATAAATAAAAGAATATTAATAAATAAAATAAATAAATAAGTAAGAAAATATATTATATAAATAAAAAAGAGTTATTTTATATTAAGTATATAATTAAATAAAATACTTATAAATATAAAATAAATATTACTTATTATAATATTATAAGGTTTATTTATTTTTATTTTTAAAAGAATTTTAATTTACTTAAGTTATATAAAAAGGTTTACTTATATATTAAATTATTTATATCTTAATTATATAAACTTTTTAAAAAACATAATAAAAGGAATTATATTAAAAGTTATATATAAGCTATAGAGATTTTAATTAATTTTTTATAAAATAAAATAAAAATAAAATATTATACTTATTTATTATATTTATATAATATATATATTATAAAAAGAAATAATTAAAAAAAAGAATAAAATAATATAATAAAAAAAGTTAAGAAGGAAATATATAAAATAAAAAAGAAAAGTAAATAAATAAAATAAGAAGAAGAAAAAATAAAAAGAGATATAAAATAAGAAGAAAAATAAGTAAAAATAAAAGAGATATAAGATAATAAGAGAAGATAAAAAGAAGTAAAAAGATAAAAAAATAAAATAAGATAAAAATAAGATATTAAATAAAATAAATTATATAAAGAAATATAAGTTAAAAGTAAAAAAAGAAATATTATAATTAATAAATAAGTTAATAAAATAAAGAAGTTAATAAGGTTAAGTTAAATATTAAAAGATATTTATTAAAAGGTTATTTAAAGTCTAAGTTAAGGTAAAAATAATTAAAGTTAAGATATTATAGATTTAATAAGTTTATTTATATAAAAAAAAGAAGTATTAATATTAAAAATATATATATTATAATATTAAATAAAATATAAAAAAATAAATTTATTTTAAGTTTTAAATTATATTATTAAAAATAAGTAAATAATATAAAATATATTATTTTTAATTATATTATATTATATTATAAATATAAAACTAATATTTAATTACTAAGAATATAATCTTAAAAATATAAAATTAAGTTAAAGTAAAACTTTAGGTTAGACTTAGGGTTGGGTTGGGGTTGGGTTGGGGTTGGGTTGGGGTGAGAGTTAGGGTGAGACTTCATATGGGGATATGGAGGTTAGGGTTGATGCGTGAGTTCAGAGAACAAAAACTTCTCAAAATGGGCCAAAAGCCAAGTATATGATAGAGCGAGACAAGCTTATTTTGATGAAACTAGACCCCGATTTTTCTCAAGTCTGTGGAATAAGTTATGATGATTCAGAATATTTAGTCGATTGATTCTAGTCAAGTTGGTTGATGACAAAGAATTTCTTGGCTCACGATAAATTCAAATAGGTATAGCGACGACCCACTTTGAAAGTCTTGGCTCACGATTAATTCAATCTGGTTTAGCGCGAAAACCTGGTGACACAATTTCGCGACCTTTCCTGATCAGTTGAAACCTATTACCCTAAAATCCAAGGCGACGAGGGGGAGAGCTACCATTCAATTGGCCTGGTAGCTTCATTGAGTCCTCAAGCCTTGACGAAATAGGGAGTCATATGCTAGTGCAAAATATCGTACAAAGACTTACAGTGCGTAGCTCTCTTTGCGATAATTCTAAAAAGAAATGTCTCGAGGTTGTTTGTAAGGCCGGGCCTTATTGGGCGCCAGCACCTTGGAAGGATGCCGCGCTCTTGTTCATTGTTTTTGCTTTTTTTAACGCGATTATGTAAACTACGAGCCCAGCCAGAAGACGCGTCTCGCAGATCTTAATGTTATGGAACCCATTTCCGTTGCCATCAGAGATCAAGCAAGATAATGTCTCAACCAGCCCCTAGACGTCGTGGTCGACCCAGGAAGACAGAATCTGAAGAAGCGCGGGTCGCTCGGGAGCGTGCTCTGCAGCGCGTACGATCACAACGATACTACGAACGAAAACATCAGCAAGCCGTGCAGCCCTCTCTCCCGCCCGCCGAACTGCACCAAACAGAATTCGTGCATTACCACCATACGTTGTCTCGGCAGTCACCAGCTGCATCGTCAACGGACCCGAGTACCGGCTTCCACCTGGAGTCGCAACTCCACATTCCCATACCAGATGAAGATCCACTGCCGGTCGAGTCTACTTTGATCGATCACGAACCAAGCGGCGTAGAGGTGGATTCAGCTGAAGGACCGTGTGATCTACCATCTGTGGAGGATGATGATCCACATACGGGTAATGCAACGCCCCAGTCTCGCCAAGTTATAGAAGAACAAACGACTCATTTCAGCCTGGGCACGCAATCTATCCCTCATTCAGGTAAGTCTCTTCATCTCACTCCCGTGCGAGATGCCTGTCAAGAATGGTTTCGCCTCAAATCCCTTGAAGCACCATCTCGAGTCCTGGCTACAACCCGCATAACTGACCCTGATTATAGCTTCTCTTCACCATATTGATGACGTCGCCGATGGCCATGATGTTGAGGATAGATCCTATGGCATCCCCGAATTTACCAATCACCGCCCTCAAAATCCGCCGCCTTCAGAGAACCCAATCCCGAGGCTCGAGAAACATCTTGCTCAGGAGTGGATGATGCATCCAAGCTGTTCAAGAGAAGAACATGATGCAGACCACGGGAAGTTAATCGAGACTGCTTGCCACCGTTCTTGTGACTCACTAGAAGATGTTATCGCTCGGCTCGATGGATTGATGAATGATGATCATAGCCATGACCCCCTACCGCATGTCACTGAACCCACTTCTGATATTCTCGATCATGCTTCTTCGGCGGACGATCCTTGCAGTAATAACCTGCCTCACAATTCTAATTCACAAGAGCACACAAGCTCGCGTCAACGTGATTACAGGGCAGCTTGCCAAATCGCTCTTGAAGGATCTCTATGCGGTGGCGTACCACCGAGTCTTTGCTTGGAAGCCAAACATCGCCTTGCACAGCCTTTTACAGATAACTTCATCCGAAAAACGTACGACGTCGACAGCATATGTAGTTTCCCCTCGTCCTTGGCTGTCGCCAGGTTGGGTATTCAGTGGTACCCGCAACCACATGTTATCTTCAACCTCACGGATGACGTTCACATCAGCCTCGACATCCCTACCGAAGGCTTTCATCGCAACAATCTTCAGCCGCGAGGGAGTTGCCAGCAACGACGTCTATTACATCATATCCCAAACTATTGCTTTGGACGGGTTCAGGGCTTGATAGATACATTCATCTGGGTGTTCTTCCCTGCTTTGTGCCATCGCCACATACATGATAACTCCTATAAGCGGACTTCAATTCCCAAGGAGCAATACACATTATGGTATGATAAGGTCCTATTGCCAGCGGTTGTAGCAGCAGTTCAAGATCCAAGCATACTCCAGTACATTCCCCCAAGCCGCCGAGTCGCTCAATCTACGTCACGCGCTCGACAGGAGGGTATCTCCACTGAGTGTCTTACAGGTGCAAATGCGAGTATGGATGTGCTTGGTCAAGGCACAAGGAGCAACGCACTCTCATACTCACTTCAACACAGACACCTTGGGGCGATATGGCAGGAAATTCAATCGCGAATAATAGCATTTCCACAATTCGCTGGCGTAAGACTATACATGGGGGCGAAGAACCTGAAGCTTGCATACATGCACTTGGATATCGCTCAGACCCTCAGTGATTTTGACAATCAATGGAATGCCGCTGTTGACAAGAAATTCCTCGATCCAGACTGTACATTTATCGACATTGGTCGTCAATATACCCCTCAAATTGGGTCTGCTGCTGAGTCTAATGTCCTTATTTGGCGCCGCTGCTGTCTGAGACGACTATGGCGGCAGCGACAAGCATGGAGTCGTCAGTACAACACGGCGAAGCCTGACGAACATAACCACTCACAGTCTTTTGAGCCACGTCAATGTGGCGTCTCAACCCTTCGTCAAGCTGAGTACCCGTTCGTCACCACGCGCGACGCGGCCGACATGACAATCACACCCACCCACAATAGCCGTGAGGCTCGTGAAGGTCTCCTCTATAGCCAGTTTTATAACCTCGTCAAGATTCCTTTTGATGCCGCCAAACAGTACCCGTTTCAGAACCCCCAGCTCGAAAAGATGGCTCTGGATCCTTCCTACCTCGCTGATTGTGAAAAGTCTACCCGTGGAAGTCATGCAAATCAAGCTTCTCTCAAGCTCGCTTATCGATTAAGCAAACTTCGGGTTCGAGCTGCCTTGATTCCAAATGGTGAAGACGAGATCCCAGTTCCGTTCGCATATGGCGTTCGAGCTGAGGATCGCCTCTCTTGGGCGCTTCTACAACGTATACTCCCTCACTTGGCCCCCTCGCAGACAGCCGTCTCGGCTGTCCATGAAGAGGTTACGCCCGACCTGGAGCCACCTTTTTTCGCCATACAGTCAAGAACCATGGCACGCTTCCTACATAGCCATATCAATAGGTATTGTTTCCTCTTCGAGCACATCAAGTCTCAGACTGGACCCAGTTACTCATTACCAGAGACTGCTGTTATGGCAATGGCGCTCCGTAGCCTCCGTTTCAGCATGTCTGGTATCATCGCAAAGGAACCATTGTTGTGGAGAGATCGATGGAGACAGGGCCGCAGTACTACACCACAAAACGATCAGCAGCAGGGTGACGAAGTAGAGCTAGAAGGTCTAGGCTTGTACAAATCTTCAAGGGACTATGGGCTAGGCTGGTGGCTCCCAGGTAAATTTGATTGGGATAAATGGCGCTTCAAAAATGATGTTGGCGATCGAATTATTGCGAACCACCATATCATACAACGCGATTATGGTCGTCAATGGAGGGTTATTCAGGACATTCGTGATGTCCATGCACGCATGTGGCAGGCCTATAAGTGGGCTCAGCATTACTCAGTTCGAGAACGGCCAGTCAATCGGGGCATCTGGCTTGAGTACCTGTACAGTACTGTGATCGAGCTCTTCCAATGCGACGTCTGGTCCGAAGCCGTCAAGAGCCTCGACTGGACGACAGGTTCTGACCTCAACGAGAAGGCGGCCACTGAATTCTCTAAATCTGACCCCCCAGATTATTGCTACGATGTTCTACAAGACTTGTTCCACGATCGACGCCGGAGTATCAGTCACACTCGACCATATCTTCTGACGGGTAACAAGGTTCGTTCACTGGATATCTGGGACCTTGTATGTGACCTCTTGGGATTTGATCTCCATGAAGGACGACTTGAACCACGAAAATACCATAAAATCACTCCTTATCGTATTGCTGTGCGGCGCAGTTTTGAGGTCATAAGTGAAGTCCTAGGGTGCGCAGAAGCGTCTCGTTGGTTCATGAAGCTTGGTCGGCTCCTTTTACTGACACATTGGATACTGCCTTGGCCATCCACTACAAATATCATTTCTACCACAAAGGAGAGCCGCAAGAAAGGCCTTAAACGGAGACTGATCTGGGTCTCTATTGTTTACGCCACTCCCGATCTATTACGTCTGTACAGCTGTCGTTCTACCGTACCTATTTGTCCTATGGAGGACAGGGAACGCCAGATCACAATAAGAGACAAGCTCTGTGAAACCATGATCACAACATCAGCCAGGCGCTTCGGAACGTCTGGATGGACACCCGAGTCCGACCCGTTGGACAGACGTTTTCACTGGACCCCTGATGATCTTCTTCAATGTACCGCTACTACACTTTTTGTTGATGCTTTCAACATTGGTCGAGCTGTTGAGCCCTGTAGCAATGGGAAGATCTACCCCCTTGCTGAACGGGGCCGACCACCGATATTGAGGCTAGTGAAACGTATACGTAATAGCACACTTGAGGAGTTAGATCAGTTATTTAGCGAACTCATCAGGATCGTACAGACCGAGTCCATGGACAAACAAGCTGGGAACAGCTCTATGCCGTTAGGTTGCACGATCCCCTGCTTAAGTCAGTCTTCCACTGGCTCTAACAACCGGATGACACGGCATGGATTCAGCCATCAGAAGTCTGCCCTTAACTGTGACCAAACAGCAGACGAGGACACAATAGAATCTAAATCTGTCGAGAGGGAGAGCGAGAGCGTAAAGAGCAATACAAGTGATAGCGACTCTGCCGATTCAAGCGGGTCATGGAAACCTCCCATACGTCTAAAGCGCGCGCTTAGGTCTCGAAAATAACATCATGCCTCACGTAATATTGATAACGTACTCAAGCTTACCGCGCGGAGATCCCAAAAAATTCGCCTCCACAATGTCCCCAACTACTGCCTTGGACGTGTCATTGGCCTTGCGGATACGTTCATCTGGGCCTTCTTCCCTGCCCTTTTCTCCGGCAAGCTCTCCGATCCTTACAGCCAGACCTGTATTCCCAAAAAGAACTTCGTGCACTGGTACGAGGAGGTGATGCTGCCCGCCATACAAGCTGTTGTCGATGACAATAACATACTCCAGTATATCCCAAAGACACATGCCATCGCGTCTTCGGACTGCAGTGCGCCCCGGGAAGCGTTAGTAGCTCTGGCGGTGGCGGAGGAAGATGAGGCCGATATGGAAGAAGAACTGGATGGGTTTACCGGAGCGAAAAGACGAGACGGTCCGGCCGCACAGCCGGGGTCACGACGCAAGCACTTCTACGTCACGCTTCAGTCCCGCTACCTCGCAGCTTTATGGGAGGAGATACATTCCAGGGCTGCTCTCTGGCCTGAATATGCAGGGTTGCGACTCTACATGGCTGCTAAGAACACCAAACTGACATGGATGCGGCCCACGTTCGAGTCGGCACTCGCGGAGTGGCAGCACCACTGGAATTCTGCGGTTGACGAGGCGTACATTGATCCGGATGTCACTTACATTGACATCGGCCGCCAGATGACGCCGGCCGATACAGGACCACATGGACGCGTACTTATCTGGCGCCGTTGCTGCATGGATAGGCTCTGGCGTCGCCGGCTACAGTGGAGCCGGATCCAAAATCGGCTGTATCATCGTGAGGAAGACGCTTGCAAGGACGAATCGGGCAAACGTCAGGCTCCGCCAATCCGCAGGACGACCTATCCGTTTGTCACTCTTCGCGATGCGAGAGACATGACCATCACTCCTAGTTCATCAAGCTGGGAGCTTCGAAACGGTCTCGTGTATAGCCAGTTCTACAACCTCATCAAAGTTCCCTTCGATGCAGCTAAGCAGTACCCGTTCCAGAACCGCCACACCGAGAGCATGGCGCTAGACCCATCGTATCTCAGAGATCAACGTAACTCCACACGAGGGCACATGCCCACCAGTCCCGAGTACAATGTGCCTACCGTCTGAGCAAGCTCCGTATTCATCGCAACGTTCCTGCTGTCGACCAGGATGATGATGATGATGATGAGATACATCATGAAGAATCAACACATCACCCATTCACATATGGTATACGTGCAGAAGACAGGGTATCATTGGCCCTTCTACGGCGTATCACTGGTATGTTCTCATCTAGCCCCGCGCAGGATGGGTCAGGCGATGATGAAGAAGATAAAGAGAGGGACCATCCATTCTTCTCCGTTTCTTCTCAAACGATGGCCCGTTTCCTCCGTGCTAGCGTCAATCGATATTGTTTCCTATTTGAGTATGTAAAATCGCAGACCGGCTTGAAATATTCACTTCCCGAGACTGTTGTTATGGCAGCAGCGCTTCGTGGACTTCGGTTCAGCTACGATTGTTCCCTCATCGCGAAAGAATCGGTACTCTGGGGAGATAGATGGACGTCGACGCAGCGCGTGAGAGTTGAGGGTGGGGAAGCGCGGATCGTCAAGGTAGAGCGAGAAGGGCTAGGTCTGAACAAGACGTCTAAGTCGCACGGATTTGGCTGGTGGCTACCAGGGAAGTTTGACTGGAATACCTGGCGGTTCGCTTCCGATGTTGGCGATCGACTCGCCGTAGGTAACGACCTCCTACGCCAGGATTACAAGCGTCAATGGAGAGTCCTCAAGGATATTCGAGACGTTCACGTTCGCATGTGGCAAGCCCAGAGTTGGCTAGGGCGATATCGAGTGCAGGACGACGCGGCGGCAAAGAGACTGTGGCTCGAATACCTGCACTCCACAGTCATCGAGCTCTTTCAGCGGGATGTCTGGCGTGTGGCCTTGAAGAGTATTAGCTGGAAGACGGGCTCTGATGTGACGGACGAGGCGTCGATGAGCTATCCAGTGTCTAGTCCACCAAGCTTATGCTACGATGGGCTATCGAACCTGTTTCACGACCGTCAACGTGATGTGAGCCACACGAGACCGCACCTTGTCGCCGGAAACAAAATACGGTCGACAAGCATGAAGGATCTCTTTGATGACCTATTCTCGCCGAGCTCTACTGGCACGGCTATGAAGCGTCGGAGAGGGTGGGCTTCGCTGCCCTACCGTATCGCAACTCGTCGAAGCATCGAGCTCGTGGAGATGGGTCTTGGGCGGCGGCCGCAACACAGTGGTACGCACAGCTGAGGCGGATTGTGCTATTGACGCATTGGATTCTGCCCTGGCCTCAGACACAGAGCTTCTAACGACGACAAAGGAAAGCCGGGCTACCAATCTCAAACGCCGGCTTACCTGGGCCTCGATTATCCATAATACCCCATTGGATAAGTCCACAAGGCACCACGAACCAGCTATGCCAACGCGAAAAGTCAACGACGTAGATCGCCACGTCTCTGTGCAAGATAATCTATCGCAGCTATTATCAGAGGTATGCAAGCGTCGTTTCGGCATCACTGGGTGGGTGAATAGCTCAGATAATGCAAAGCCGTGCTACCACTGGTCTGCCGGGGATTTAGTCAGGAGCACGCGTGACTGTATTGACATTGATGCACTTCAACTTGGCCGTGCGGTTGAGGCGTACAACAGGGGTTGTATCTTTCCCGTCGTAGAGAGAGGCCATCCGCCCCAACTACGGATGGTTACACGCATCCGGGATAAGACTCTAGATGAACTCAGTCGATTGTTCGAGGAACTGTTAGAGGCAGGCGATGTCGACCCCAGCTCTCCAGTTGCGAGCATCACACCCGAAATCGGACAATCTCGCATGTTTTCGCGTTCCGCGACACGACAAGCCGAGCAAGACGCTGCAAGAGATCTGGCAGCACAGTCACGAGGATGTCGTTATCTGCAGCTACTAGCTAGGAAATATCCACGAACAGCGGATGAGCGGGAAAGGCTCCGGAGATATTTCCGACGGCGTGGCCGTGTACGAGCTGGCAAGGCTGTTGCCAATACGGATTCGATCCATTCAGGCGACACGAGTTTAACCGCGCAGACAGATGAAACGGATGGGTCGTGGAGGCCACAAAAACGTTTGAGAAAGGCAGTCAGAGATCAGATGACAGCCAAGCTAGAGTAATGTAGTAATCACTGTGAAGATCAGTCAAGACGGGCAGAGGCTTCTCCATAATAGATAGTGCAATAGCTACCTTTCATCCTTATGGCGAAGATAACACTAGTTTGAGGTGCACTGTCGAACCAGACGGGGGTGGGCGGCGTGAACGTATGCAGAGCGTACATGATGGGGTGAGAACTATGATGTACTCTCTTGCGCAATTTTAAGGCTACCTTTGTAGCGCACACGTGCATAAGTTATGATCGCAGCAGGCGACGGATAAAAAAAGCAAGTTGTTAGGTCCCAAAGCCTGGACAAGGTTTGTTGCCCAGCTAGAATAAGCCGTCGAGGTTTAACGGGAAATTAGGCAGTTTTGGCCGGCACCATACTTGGACCGATGTTTCAAAACCGACATCATACTCGACCCAAAAATTCTGTAAAATAATACACACCAAGTGAAGGAAAGAACTCCGACGCAATACTAAATACTAGATAGCCTAAGTCGAATATGTACTTTACGGTGGTTGAAGAGTAAAATACGTAGCGGCCACGGAATGGGTTGTTTGGTACAGGGTAGTTCGTTGAGTGTTGAAAAAATGAATTACCAGTAATAATATTCGGAAAAACCACGTCGCGACTCCAGCATCATCACCACCACTCCAACATGTATTTCTTCACGTAAGATGGGCGAAAAGTTATGTATTTGTGTTAAACAGTACAAGTCGAACGAAAACATACTTCAATATATTTCCCCAGAGTATTTCATGCCACGACGAGTCCCTTCTTCCTCGAGCCGGCTCAGCAATATATTTTTTGCGCCGGGAGTGGATGCATCTTCCTTTAAGATAAAAGGCACAGCGATTTCCTCAATAAGGTCACAAAACTTATGGATATCGTCCTTCTTAATGTCCCGTTTTGAACGGCAGACGAGAAGAATGCTTCGTTGCAGTCACAATTACGGCAACTAGGATGATGACCAAGGCCGGGGGGGGGGGGGGCAGGGGTAGCTGCAAGGGTTGGCTGGGCGGGTTCAAAAGGGAAGCAGTCCCCCAAATTTTGGAGCGGACCATTTCTCCACTTTCAACTACAGCCAAACTCAGAACAGGAAGAGCAGCGGCCATATTATGAATATGGGGATATACAGCAGCGAAGCGAGAAGGGTTGACGATCAGGTTGACAGATTCAATCAATTGGGTTTAAGTTTATTATTAACATATGCCTTTTCTCTTTTTCTCTCTCTTTTCTTTTTTTCTCTCGTTTTTCTTCTTCTTCTTCTTCCTCTTCTCCGGCTCTTTCACTCCGTTGAGATTAGCCACAGTCGACCCTCCCCAATCTATGTCTCTCAAGTCGGGGCTGTAGAGACAATTGTACTACCGTGATGGTTTAGGCAATTGATCTTAGGATTAAGGGAGCAGACGGGTAGCCCAAGGGGATATTAGTGACGTCTGCGGTTTTTCTTGGCTGGTCGCCTTGCCCATATATGCAGTGCATATTGAGCTCGGAGGGTTCCTATCCGAGGCGATTCATAAATGGATTCATGATCAACTGGTTGTCTGTTCCCTATTAGACTGGAAAGAGATTTTTGCAGTCACGGCTTGGTGTTCTAATAGGGAAACCTAGGCTCTCGCTGCTGTAGGATGAGCAGGGCGGCCAAGCGGCTGATTAATCTCGTCTCAGTTGCCGGTATGGGATATGAGATGAGATAGGTAGGGGCTTGGATTTGAAGGGAAGGGGAACATCTGGGGTATCGCTTTGATGTTTTACCCGTAGCCCTAAGTCTAAAGCACAAGCACAGGTTTTGGATTGGATTGGATTGGATTGGATTGATCGAGAAAGGTAAGAGGCCAGCTGTTGGGGTTAAGGGGGGAAGGCAGACTTTTCGCTCTCCGAAGGGAGAGTCTTGAGAGTAGTTTTGTAGTTGTTGTCGGTGAGGACTCCAGTGCCTGGTAGTAGTAGGGAAGCCACTGACGGGTGACGCGGAGGGTTATCTGGGTTAGTTAGTCAGGGTTTCACAAGGGGGGTCAGGGTTGAAGGTTGAGGGTCTGCACAGTGCGATACAGTGTATTTTCGCACGGCCCTGAATAGGGCGTAGACTAGGTATAAGTATAGTGCAAAACAGAAAAGACAAAAAGGACTTTTTAAGACTTTGGGCGGGTGGGTGTACCGCTGTACGCGCGCGAGCGCGTGTTTAGCACTCGGCAGAGGCGCGGTAGCGCAAGAAAGAGAAAGAGAAAGTTGTGAAGAAACGACGGCAGTATCTAGGGATACACAGTGCATACAGTGCTAATCATCAGCGGCCGGCACTGTGTCGGGTTAGGGTTAGGGTTAGGGTTAGGGTTAGGGTTAGGGTTAGGGTTAGGGTTAGGGTTAGGGTTTAGGGTTAGGGTTAGGGTTAGGGTTAGGGTTAGGGTTAGGGTTAGGGTTAGGGTTAGGTTTAGGTTAG